GTAGGTAATTTGGGCATTTATTTCAGTTAATACAGGGATGAAGTTCAGATGGCAAAAGCTTTCCAGCTGAAAACCTCTCAATTTAACAATCATCTATGAATTAAAGCAACAACAAAACAAAATAAAAATCCACTGGAGAAGATAATTTCTAAAGAGTTTCCTCTAGATTTTCGAAACAATTGCTTTAAAAAAGATTGAATTTTCAAACTAGATTTGCAGCAGGTGTCTGTTGCCAAAGGAACTGACCAGCTTTCAATATAGCACTAATCTACAGGAACAACAACATCAAATTCTGAACATTTTCTTCAGAATTGTTCAAACATTGTCTTGAATTGAGGGCTGATTTCTTAATGAAAAGAAAAGTGAGGCTTTAAGAAGACATGTGAACAGAAATGCCACTGAGATCTTTCATTAGACACCAAACAGCACCAGCTGCCTCGAAGAAAAAAAGGGGGAAATGCTCACTTCAGATGAGGCCCAAAGTACTTTGCTAAGTCAGCAACTGGGGTCGAGCTGTAAGAGATATTTTATTTCTTCCTGTAATTATTAGAAGGGGAAAAAAGATTTTCTCTAAACAGAAGACAGACTGTATCCTTGCACACAGCCTGTTATTGTACAGGTTCCCCTATGTAGCTATGGAAACAAAAAATGGAATGTTTCCATACAATCCCAGATATGCTCAAATCTCAATTCCACTTTGTTACCCGCAGACAAAAGAATCCCTCTGCACAATTCAACACCAAAAGGCTCTATTGTTTTTTTCCTATGATCGCCATATTAAGATTTTATGCCATGATTCATTGCTATTATTTAACAGCCTGCTTTCCGGACACTCCAAGACAATATAATAATTGTCTCTCATTAAAATTTGAGCTGTCTAGTAAAAAATCAGATTATGCACTCATGGCAGATGCAAAGGCTATGAAGGGGTTATGAAAAAAAAAAAACCAGCAACTGCAGTGGGCTTAGATGTATTTGCCTTCAGTATTCAAATTTAATAGTGAAGAGGTACATAGAAAGTTGAAAACATTGCTGAAAAACTGCTCCTGAAAACGTTTCTGAAAAACTGTTTCCAATAGATCACACTAGGTCTCCCTTTTTTAAAAGCTGTTAAGTCAAATCTTGTCATGCCCTCATTGGCTCCCGATTAGATGTTGTGCTCAATTTAAGGTGCTGGTCAAACCTGTAAAGCCCTTAATGGTTTAGGACCTTGATATCTGGCAGGACATCTGTCCCACAAAATAGCTACCCAACACACACTCCTTGTAATTTTTGATACTAAGAATTATAACACCCCAGAAGGACACAAAAGCCTAGGATTGGAACTGTGCTTTCTTGGTTGTGCCCCCTTCCCTCTGGAACAAGCTTCCTCTGGAGGTTCACCAGGTACCCATTTTTCTCTGGTTTTAGGAAGCTAATTCTATAAACCCACATTCTACTAGTGTGGATATTATTCTGAGATGTTTAAATGGGTTTTCATTTGTGTATCTTTTGTTTATAGGAAGTTTTAGTGAGCAACAGGGTTTGTTTTGTTTTGTTTTTTTTATTTATTATATATTGATTTTATTGTATGATGTTGTGGTATATTGTGACCCACCCAAGAATGGCTTACATCATGATATATAGAAGATATCTGAAGAAATCAACAGTAAAGAATCACATTGTGAGAAAGGGAAGAGAAGAATATGTTTTTCAGAAAGGGTGCTATTCATTTAATAAGCCAGCTGAAAGCAGTGTCCAGCCAGCCCTTTCTCTGCTACTGAGTTCTTCAGAGGAACAGTGGTTAGATATGGTCCACATGTAGACTCACAAGATGCCTCATGCTTCACCAGCCCATCTGGTTCGCAGCTAAATTTGGCTGAAGGACTGGAAAAAAGAAAGCATCCCAGGTGGTTGTTACACAAAGAACACTGCAAATTTGCAGATGTGAACGAACTGGTGTGCGTTTTTTAACATGATATGGGGGAAGGGGTTTTTGTTACACTCATTTATCATATTTTTGTGCACCAGATTATCGTCTTCCCTCCTCTTCTCCCTTAACAGCATCCATCATCCACTGTCAGTATGACTTTGGGACAAAGTTGTAGTCCAATACATCAGATTAGGGACGAGCATGTTTTGGTCTCTTTTAAGTAATTAATGTGTCACCTTTCTCTTAGTGAAGGGACTGAAAGCAACTCACAATTAATTAAAGGAATAATCATACAGAGTTAAAAACACAACAAGGTGTAATATTAGAAACAAATAACAATATTAAAAACTGTCATTTAAACAAACATACAGACTGAGAGAGGGGGGAGAGAGACAGAGAAAAGAGCATCTCCCAATAACACTTATTTGTTCACATCACTTAAAAGCCTGCCTGAAAAGGAAGTTTTTTGCCAGCCTTATAGGTCACAACCAGCACTTTGAGCTGGTTCTCGAAATGAACCAGCAGCCAGTGATTTTACTGTAACAGGGGAGTTGCATACTTCCCATAACAGGCACCAGTTAACAGGGTTGCCACAGCATTTTGAGCCAGCTGAAGTTTTTGAACACTCTTCAAAGGCAGATGTATGCAGAGCACATTGCATTGATCAAAGCAGGCTATAATAACTATATTGATGTCACCACAGCCAGATCAGACAACTTAAGGAATGGGGCAAGTGGTGTGCTAGCTTTAGCTGCACAAACACATCTCTGGCCACTGATGACGTCTAGACAGGCAGGTTCAGGGCTGGTTTCAGGAGGATAAAAAAGCTGACTTCTTGGAGGAATGTAATCCCATCCAGTACAGGCCAAATCCTTATTCTGTGTTCTGTCTTTTGACAGACTAGGAGCACCTTTGTCTTGTCTGGATTAAGTATCAGTTTGTTTGCCATTATCCAGCCCATTACTGTCCTCAGACTAGAAGTCAAAGAGCTTCTCCACAGTTAGAAAGAGAGTAGTATTGGGGACAGAACTGAACCCTGAGGGATCCCCAAGGCCAACTGGATTCAAACAGAATTTCCCCATCACTGCTTTTCAAGCTCATCCCTCTGACAGAAAGACAGCCCAGAGGGACACCAGGGCTGAAAATAACACAAACAATGAAGAAGTTAATCAGCACCAACACAATCACATTCCCTGTCCATTTTCAGCCACAGGTCAGCCACCAAAGCCCAAATTTTTTTGTGTCCCATAACCAGGTTAGAAGCCATATAAAAATGGGCCTAGATGATCGGCCTCATCTAGGATTCCCTATCTTCTCTCTATGTCCTTCCCTTTGTATATGTGGTGAACAGCCCACACCTCACTCCTGTCAGTCATTTTAGAGCCCCAGTGCAGGAGCCTATGACAGGACAGGAGGGGCGGAGTCAAAGGAATGGGAAGTGCCAGAGAGGCAGTAAGAGAGAGACAGAGAGGGAGTTAGAAAAAAGATGGTGAAGCGTTTAGACAGAGAGAAGACTGAGAAGTATTTAGACAAGATATTTGACAGTTGGTTAGTTGGAGAATATTAAAGAGTTAAAAGGAATTAGAAGTACATTGACAGTCAGAAAATATTGAGATCTTCATTAAAGTAAATGAGTACAACAAGCTTATAAGTAATCAAATCCACGTTTACTGAATGAATGATAATAGAACATCCATGATTTTCCTTCTGTGATTCACTTATTTATCCTTAAATAAACCTTGTGTTATTTGGCAGCAAGAGTGTGAGACTCATGATTGATATAGTGAGGATAATATCCTCTGGTGGCAGCGAAAAAGGGGTAAAGAACAAGTTGTGTCCAAAGGTGAACCTGAGTGAGGGGCAAAACACACAGGGGTCACTGGGGTTGCGCGACAGTATCCAAACAACATGGGGTGGTGGGGTCTGAGATCTGTCTCTGTCATGCCTGAATTAAGTCACACTCGTGTGCAGCACAGTCATGATGATGTGGCACAGGCACGGCACTGATTCTTTAAAAAAAAGGGGGGGGAACATTTTGATAAATTCCTACCAGAAATGAACTAAAACAAAACTGTCACTCACCCCTATTTTTATGATATCTTTGGACAACAGCATTGACAAACAATCCTCATAATGTTCAACATGCCTTGCGGACCAAAACCTTATTTCTTTCTTACTGGGGATGGAATTATACTTTCTGTTGTTACTTCTTTCCTTCTTGCTTTCACAAAAATAATCATATGAACCTTTGATTCATTTGGAGATTTTCCTCCAGTTTGCAGAAAAAATGATTAAATTGTCAAAAAATGTCTAGAATATGTCAAAAATGCAGTGGAATCTTTCTCCTGCCTGGATCCAATAAAGTTGTACTACATAAACGTATAGATTTTAAACATTGGAACTATCATATAACCAACTACATAGAGCAACTACATAGAGAAATCAAACTACAATAGTCTTATGAAATCACATGACAAACTGGATTACAAACCAGCAGGGAAATGACAACAGAGGGGCAGAAAGAACATTGTATTTGAAAGTATTTTGAAATCATGATTAAGTTAAATGCAAACTAGATGTTAGAATTGTGGAAGTTATTTAGTCAGCTTTAATAGGGTGCCACAGACATTTTAGAAAACTATGACTAATGATGATTTGGCTTTTTATCTTCTGCAGTTATTGTCAGTTCATCATCAAAAAGATGTTAATTTGCTTGGTTGCTTGATCTTTTACTCCACCAGTCAACTTGGTTCTAGTCCTTACAAGCACCTCTTCTACTACCACAAGAGATTAGATAGATGCTGAGGGTAGATAGAGCAGCGGTAAAGTAGAATACTCCAAGTCTGGGAAACAGAAAAACTTTTTACGACAGCTCTGTCTACTGATTTCTGCCAATTGACTGAATAGTAGACAGTTCTATTGCTGAAGAGATCAAGAACAAGAAAAAGTTACTGGCCTTAAGACAATTATACTTGATAATGATGGTAGAGTTTTTAAATATTATCCAGCTGCACATTTAAATCATGAAAATATTTGAGAAGTTGAAATAGCTTCCCCCCTACTGAAAACCAAAGAAGTAAATACTCACCCGTTCTGATGATGCACACCAAGCATATGCGGAAGCCAAGAAGATCTGGTGATCGACTGAAAGAGTCAGACAAAAGCAACTGGCCAAAGAAAGAGGTTAGTATAAATCCACTCTTCCTCCCCTTGCCTGGGTAGTCTTAAAGATTACATGCAGTGCATTTTTTAAAAAAAAAGAAATGCATTCAGCAAAGACGGCGTCCTTGTGTCAGTCAAATACAGCATAGTTTCAGCTAGGCATTCATCCAAAAAGACATGGAATAATTCTATTTTTGTCTCTCATCTCAGTGGAAACAATTTTTACAAATCTGTGGCAAGGACTTGGGTTTTTATGGTGGTCAGTTAGAGGAGGAGAATTGTAATTAAAGGCTCTGGTAAGGTTAAACCAGCCCAGAGGAAAGAAACTGAGCACATTTAAAGAGAAAGATAAATAAGGATGCATGTGTTTCCAAGGGCTAATAGAACAGGAGCTCACACCCCAGTTAAAATACCAGATGTGAGATACTAGGGGGGAAAATCTGGAAAAACAGTTTAAGAACAAACATTGACCTCCTGTCAATATAACTGTGCAATTAAGACAGTTCAAAATAATGTTTTGACCAACGCTAAACACACACATACATTATAAGTGTTTTCTTTGGAGGGGGGGGACTTCTCAGATTGCCTTTCTTTTTATGACAACTTAGCAAACTCTGCCTGTGGAAGTTGCACATTCACCATATGAAAGTAAATTTTATATTTTTCTCAAATTGTTGTTGTGCCATTAAGAGGCTGACTACATGGGTATTTAGTCTGCTGTTTGGTCCATTGCAGAGACAGGCTGATTAACTCCTAAAGATGGTGATCAGAAAACATTTTTGCTGGAGTCAACCAGCCTGCTCTCAGAGCATTCCTACCCATACCTTTCTAGCTCCTGTCAAGGGGCTTCAGCTTTTCTAGTGCAGGTAGGATCACTCCCTTTTGGCCGCTTTCCAGCAGGTGTGATTGCTGGGAATGAACAAAAAACCTTCTTTTTTTGATTTGGCAATATCATGAAGTGGTTTAATAGAGCCACTTCAGGATACTGGCTAATTAAAACGCTTCCTCTGCTCTTTGGCAGAAAGGCTGAGGAAGTGAAAATATTTTTAGCCTCAATGAGAACAGCAAAACTGCACTGCATCACACACAGACACACTGTGTGTGTATACACACACACACACACACACACACACACATTACATGTAATCCTATGATCCACAGCGCTGTAATCCCATGATCCACAGGGTGGACATCTGTCTCAGTGGCCCAATCCGGCTCAGGCCACAGACCAGGGACTGGGGACCTCTGCTGTGTAGAATCCTTTGAGAGTCTTGGAGGAACACAAACACCTCCTTTTCATCCTATATCCGTGTAAATGTCAGTTGAGTGGCAGGGCATCCACATTGTGATAATTCCTCTCTGGCCACACTCTCCTTTTTGAAACCAGGGCAGTTTCAAAGGGGCGTCTCTTGAAAAGGTTGGAAAGCAGGTCCTACCCATTCATCGAAGGCAGGACAGCTGAGAGTGCTGACCCCAAGAGAGGCTGGAGGAAGAAGACCAGAAATCAGGCCCTCTCGGTGGTCCCATGCACTCACACGTATGGAATAAGCTGCCACCCAACATCCATCTGGCTCCTTCACTGGGGGGGTGGTGGTTGAGAAATAACACAAAACCTAATTATTTCAGCAGGCTTTTGAAACTATGCCACCTACAAAACCTGTTGACATCCAAGCTAACACCTGATTGCCGCTGTCTACCCCCAATTTAAATATGTCTTAATGTTTGGTATGTTTAGAATGTATCTTAAACTGTCTGATTTTGATTTTGTTATATTGTTTCTTTTTATATACAGTAGTTGAGTTATATCTTTTGATTTGATTTCTCCATTTTGTTAGTTTGCCATTTTGTCTTGTAAACCACCCAGAGTGCCCATCAACCAGATGGGCAGCAGACAAAGATAGATAGATAGATAGATAGATAGATAGATAGATAGATAGATAGATAGATAGATAGATAGATAGATAGATAGATAGATAGATAGATAGATAGATAGATAGATAGATAGATAGATAGATTAAGCATATTCTTCACCTGCAGATGATACTTGGACTAGTCTAAACAGAAGTGAGTCATTTTTCTGAGCCTCGATTGGAAATTATCCTAGTTCTTCTTTCTGACTTCTAGCAACGTTTCCCAGGGCTTTCTAGATGTAGAGTACTCCGAAGTAGTTGACCATTTCCTTCTTTTGGGGGTTCCCTGGGACTGTGCAGTTCACCCAAGGCTATAAAGTCCAGATTTTCTCCTGGGACCCACAGTGGACTTATTTTTAGTTCTCCTTTGTTCTAGATGACAGAGTTCAGTATTATAGGACTTCCTTTTGTTTGACCTTGATGCCTGTGAGAATCTCCTAGTCAAAAGCTCCCTGTGTAACACTCAACTCCAAAAACAAAAAGATTCAGGAAAAAAAGTTCATGAGAGAAGTGGATTTCTTAAGTACAGTGGACCCTCGACTTACAGACGGCTCGACTGACAGACTTTTCGAGTTACAGACTTCTCTGGCCCCAAAATTTAGGTTCGACTTGCAGCCAGAGAATCAACCTACAGCCTGGAAAAAAAAAAACAAAATGGAACAAAAATGGCCAGTTATGGATTAATCGGTTTTCAATGCATTGTAGGTCAATGGAGACTTGACCTACAGACTTTTCGACCTGCAGCCACCGTTCCAATACGGATTAATTCCATAAGTCGAGGGTGCACTGTATTTTTGAAAGAATTATTTAGGATAAATTGTTAAAGATGTTTTAAAGAAAAGTGGTTTCCTTTAAGAGAAAAGAAGTGATGTAGGGCATAAGCACTTGGAACTTAGCATACCATAAAGCAAAATATCTTGAGTTAGTGGGGAGTCATTATTAAATAAATACTACATCCTTTTTGTCATCAACAGAGATTTTACCCCAGGCTCTTTCTGTTCTGCTATTTCTCTGTACATGTCCTTCTTGACATTCAAGGAAACAAAATAATGGGACACCTTGTAGGAATAGTCCATTAGAAATATCTAAATACCTTTAGAATCCAGCATTAAAAGTAGCTTAGAAACTAGCACTAAAAATTATACTCTGTTTCTCTGTCTGGGATAGAATTTTATTTCAAGCATTCTCAAAAATGCATTTGTTTTTGTTCTGAAACAAAGTAAATGATACCACATGTGGAAATTCTACTCTTCCAACATTAAGTACAGACAGGGGCACACCCAATGGTATTTTTCAAGAAGTAGAAAGCCCAGAACTGAAGGAAGAAATGAATGTTATATGTAATTAGGCAAACCAATATAAATGCACCAAGCAGTGTTTTCCTTTCTTAGCTTAGTAATCGTCCCTTGAAAACTATAACTCTCTCTCAACAGAATGGTAGTCTAGTAAATTACAGGTTTGACCTAAGTAGCTTCATTTTGCAGAAATGCAAATGTTCAGCATAAAAACCTGGCAAAAACGGTACGACCCAGCTCAAGTTGTGATATTTTTAAAAGTTCTTTATACTTGAAATTTTTCACATTTCTGGTGAACAAACTGTCCAGGTATGTTTTCTCCAACTAGCCTGGCTGAATTTTTTTTCTTTTTTTAAAAAAAGTGTGCAACCAGACACTAAATATTCAGTCCCAAAACATCTGTGCTGTTCAAAAATTTGACCAATGAAATTGTTTATCATATTTGCTTTTGAAAATTGATAATGTGCGTGCTTTTCTCATTTTGCCACAGAGAAGAGACCTCCATATTGTTTTGCCTCCCGCCCCCCTTTGGGACTGCTTTCCCTGTTTGGCTGATTTTTTTTTTAAAAAAAAATGTTATTTGGTTAATTTTTGTGAATTTGCAGTGAAGGCTGTTTTCTTTGGTGGCTATGGGTTGTATTAGCTGGTATGAGGTCAATTGTGAGAGAAACAGAAACTGGTGGATTCATTCATCCAGGCTCAGAGCTTTGATTGCATCATTCTTATATTTGGGTATGGATCCCTCTTTTTCAGACATGCTGGCCTTGTCACATTTTTCCTAAGAACCTCCTTTTCTTTAATACCTATATGGTACACAGGTAAAACACTCTTCTCCATGATGGGAATAGTCATATGTACTGAATTTGACCACTGAACATGCACGGAAATATAATCCCAGTTCTGCAATGAAGAATTTACTTTCTTAAAAATGCAACTTGCAAATTTGGAACAGAAAAACAATGTTTTAAACATTTGAATGCAGAAGAAAGTGAAACTCAGGGTTGCTATCTGCAGAGTGTTCCCTAGTCACTTCAAAAGGGCATAACTAGCCATTTTGATGCCTGGTACAAATGGCACCATCTCTCCCTCTGTCATGAGGCCTGGGCATGAGTCTCCCGTGGAAAAGGAGAAGGATAATATTGCCTCCCACCACCACCACCACCCAAAAAAAGAGAGAGAATGTTTATGCTTTCAAGAAAGGGAAAGTGAATAGGGCTAGGAAGAACTGCTGTTTATTTTCCTGACATCAAGTAGTAGATTCGCCTCTGGATTCTCTAATTTTTGTTAACTAGCACTCCACCCTGGTTACAGACATGGAGGCTGGATTCGGCTCTTCCAGGTCTGGCATCATCTGTACTCAGAAAAGTATCATAGAATCACAGAATCATAGAAAAGTGAAGTTGGAAGGGGCCTACAAGGCTATCAAGTCCAACCCCCTGCTCAAGGCAGGAATACAGTCAAAGCATATCTGTCAGGTGTTTATCTAAGTTTTTCTTGAATGCCTCCAGTGATGGAGCAGAAACTTGCAAGCTTGCTATACTGTTTGTGCATATGTGATTTATTTTAAATTGTTCTTAAGGGTGTGTGTGTGCGTGCGTCTGTGTGTGTGTGTGTGTGTGTGTGTGTGTGTGTTTGTGTGTGTGTGTTTAAGCCTCCCTTCTAAATAACATTTTTATTTATTTTATTTGTTATTTGTTAATATATATTCTTTTTACTGAAGTTCGTTTTACTGTAGTTCACGCCACTTGTGAGAAGCTCAAATTCAACACATTCTGCAACATCCCTAAGATTTTCTCCTATTCTATGTGGGCTTCTGAGTGTCACATGGGCCTCTCCTGGACAGGAGCATTGGCATGGCAAGGAGGAAAATAAGTTTCAAATAATAGTTTGAAAATTATTCCTCCACTCTTTTGCCTCTAGAGGAAATGTAGGTGTGTTCCCCGCCCCCTTTCATGTGTAAGAAATTGAGTTCTCCACATGAACAAGACTGATGAAACCAGGGCCCTCCAAATGC